AGGATAGATTCCACTGGTAGCTGGGAGATTGCCGGGCCCTCTTTTTCTATAGACTTCCTATAGGACGGGTAATATGTACAGTGGGGACTTCACTAAGAATGCACCCCAGTTAGGATGGATTGTTGGTGTTTTTCATGGGGTGGAATCTCTCTGGAGATGTTTTACGTTGATAAACCCACATCAAGGCTGTTCCTATATTACGAGTATTGTTTTCTATTGAAGGTGATATCTGGAAGGACTATATTCATAGCGAGTGAAATTTCTCTAGGTGTGTCTCTCTCTGGGAAGTACTCACATGGGCGCGTGTTTCTGTGTCAGAGGTTTCCCCTGGGATTAGGTCTGTGCGGTGGGGTGGTAGCTACATTAGGGGTGCTCCTCTAGTGGGGTGCACCCTTGTGAGGACAGTTTCCATGCACGGTGCATATTTGTGTGGGGTGAAGTCTGCTGGGGTCCAGAGGAGTTTCTCTTAGTCAGGGGCTTTGCTGAATCACTGGGGAGGGGGTGCTGTTGTGGGCGCCCCCCTTCCGGGCCAGCCTGCGGCTGCTAATCGACCGCTCGCACTTACACTGCTCTCCGCTGCTTCCTGCCGCTGCCCCAGTTATTCTAAGCAGCAGGCTGGTCATGAGCTCCCAGGAGCAGTCACACCTCCCACCTGAGGGTGAGGGCCCCCACTCCCCACATCAGTTCTCACAGCTCCCTCTCCCCTCGGCCCTGCCCACTCCCCCTCCCTCCCCAGCATTCCCTGGGACCCTTCCGGCTCCTGTGGTGGCTGCCTGGCTGCCGGAATGCCAGGACTCCGTCCTCTGGGTGCTGAGATGCTGTTTGCCCGGCTGCACCTGACCCTTTCGGAACCTACTCGTTCCCTAGACAGACATAGATTCTCGAGTAGGCTGAGGCCAAGACAGAGAGGCCAAGTGACTAACCCTGAAAGAACCTCTTTCCTGGTCCCCCCAGGCCCCAGGCACCCCCCCCCCCCCAGGTACTCACGATGATGTTGCAGAGCAGAAGAAACAGAGAAATGTCCTTCAGGCATCGGCGTCTCCAGTGGGCCCGGGGGGCCAGGAAGATGGCCGTGGCTTCCTGAGGGCCCACCAGGCTGGGGCTCACCGACCTGGGGGTGGGTGGGCAGGTTGGCAAAGTGTGGAGGGCGTCCGGGTTGGCGAAGGTAAGGCAGGGTTCCTTGGGAGGGGCGTCGTGGGGCTCAGCCCCTGGCGGGCCCCGGTGGAGGCTCTCAATGATAAACACGTTCTGGAAGGTGTGCTGGGCAATCATGAGCAGCGCGTGGGCGAGGTTGAGCGCCCCCAGCGTGTCCCTGGGCACGCCCACCACCACGGCGACGATAGAGTAATAGGAGATGGCGTACTGGCCCAGGGCGGCGCCCATCAGCAGGGCCACGTCCAGGGTGCGTGTGGGGTTCTTATGGTGGTCCATGGCCCGGCGGTCAAAACGGTAGATGACCGAGCCGCTCAGGCTGACCAAGGTCATGAGCCCCAGGCAGGCGATGTTGAAGCTGTAGTAGATGACCAGGGCCTGCTGGGTGTGGTCCCCGTCCCCACTCACTTGGACCTCATAGATGACGAAGACGGCCAGCCCCACCAGGAGGAGCATCAGGCCCAGGACTGGGCCCACAAAGAATGTCTCCCGGAAGAGGCTGCCCCGGGATGGGGTGTGGCCGTGGCCGTGGGTGGAGGAGGCCAGCAGCCTGCCCACGTTCTTCCACATGACGTAGAGCATGGTGGAAGCGAAGAGGCTGTACTCGATGTTGAAGGGGTACAGGTAGAAGTAGCCCCGCTCGAAGATCTGGCAGACGGTCGTGGCGCAGGCGCAGTCGCCTCCAGCCTGGCTGCCCACACGCTCTGCTGTGGGGAGACGGGCACAGAGCTGTACAGCCCACCCCTCTTCCAGGAGGGGCCCCATCTGAAGAGCCTCACCCCTAGACTGTGACCTCTCTCTCTGCCACATTCACTACCATACCCCAAACGCCCACGCTGGGCTTGGCATGTTCATTCATCCCACACATGTTTATTGAACACCTACTGTGTGCCTGAGACTGCGGGACACATCAGCAAACAATAGCCAGTGCTCAATTTAAAAAACAAAACACTGAACTGCAAAGCTGCCCACTTCCCCCCATTCCTTCAGGAAAACACTGTCCATCTGTCCCCCCGGCCCCAGGAATGACCCCTGGCTGCCTGACGTCGGCGAGGTTCTGGTCTTGTAGAAGGTGGCCCTCTTGGAAACCCCGAAAGTTCCAGCTTCCTCTGAGCTCTCCCCAGCATCTGATGCAGCCCGGAAAGCCAGCTGCTGGGCCTAGGTCTGGGCCCTGACCCCCGGTCACCTGGCCTGGACCACACTGAAAGGGACCTTGTCCTGCACCCAGCCCGTGCTGTGTACGGTGCCTTGGGCCTTGGCAAACATCTCTTTCGATCCCAGGTACTGTGCCAGCTGGTTTTGCAGATGGAGAAGCTGAGGCTCATGGAGGCAAAGTGACTTGTGATGGCAGAGCTGACGCACATGACCTGACTCTGAGCCCGGCCGGGGCAGGTACCTCACCGGCGTGCCTCTCTGTGCCCCCGCAGCCCCAGCACATTCCATTGGCTGCCTCCCCAGGTTGGTTTTTGCCACCCTCAGGACCCTCCTGTGTGTAAAAGGTGGCCCTTTGTCAGTCTTGCTGGGCTGGGGGTCTCGGGGGGGCGGGGGCCTGGGCCCACGCTTTCCCTTCCTGGACTCTCCCACACTGGGGGGGGTGGGTGCCTGTGTCTTCAGGTGAAGTCCAGATGGACTTAGTCATCTAGTCTGCTCCTGACTATTGGGGGGGCCTAGAGAAGTCCCGAGAAGTAGGAAGGACCAGGGGGACAGTACCCCATTCTTCCTCGGGATGGCATTTTGGTTAAAAGCAAAGATGGATCTGAACACTAGTTGCCCGATTTCAAGCTCCGTGACCTTGGGCAAGCTGTACAACCTCGCTGTGCCTTAGTTTCTTCGCCTGGAAAATGGGAATATTGCTGCTACTCACCTCACAGGGAGCTGTGAGGGTTAAGTACCATGAGGTTTCACACACTTGGCACGGCACCTGGCATGCAGAGCTCAGTGGACGGCCACCATTGCCAACGTGACTGTATTTCTAGCTTCTCCTTGCCGGGCTCTCCATCTGATCCCTGCTTCCGCCATCAAGACACTCTGCTCCCTCCCCCTCCCTCCAGTCCCATCGCCCTTGCCCTTTCTTCTGGGAGCCCGAGCCCCTTCGTTAGTGGAATGGGGACCCGGACAGTGGGACCAAGGCTGTGTTCTCCAGGGTCAGAAGGGCCCTCCGTGTCACCTACGCCCACAGGTCAGCGTCAGAGCCAGAGCCTGGAGCAGGAGGTAGCTCTCCTGGGAGGGCGCAGAGGTCCACTCTGCAAGCCAACAAAGCCCCCAGCCCGAGGCCCAGGGTCACAGGGCCAGGGGGCATCTGGCGTGGCACTCACGGTCGGCAGCCAGGCGGGCGTGGCTGGCGTTGCTGTGGGAGTAGGCCTGGTGCACGGATTCATCCACCACGGCCGCCATCCAGTTGGCCAGGTTGGTGGTGAGTGTGAACATGAGGCCACACCTGTTTGGGGAGGGAGGGCAAAGAGGCCAGTGAGACCCTTTGGCTCATCTTGGGAGCTACAGTGGGAGGTGGTGGTGAGACACAAGAAAGCAGTCAGGCCCCTGTGTGAACAGGAAGCGGAGTTTGGAAGAAACAGCCTGGTGGGGATGCAGGAATGCTGGGGGGGGGGGGGGTACCCAGGGGCTCAGGCTACCCTGCTCCCTCTCCTGGGAAAAAGAACATTTAGTGCACTGCACAGCCCATCCCACCAAAGCCATGCAGGTGCGCATCCGCGACACACACACACACACACACACACACCACTGCACGGGGTGATGGAAATGGAAATCAGGCTACCTAAGGGACAGAAAGAGGCCCAGGCCCAGGTTGGCAGCCCTCATCTCTCACAGAAGGTGAGCACTGGCATGCCCAGGGCCATGAGCGCTGGACAGGCACTCACCGGGTCAGATCCAGGTGGACGTGAACACAGTCCTTAGCAGAGACCCAGAGGAAGTAAGTCTGGTGGAGAGAGAGTGGCGAGGTCAATTACTCTGCAGAGCAAACACAGCTGAACTCAAGTGCCCACGTCCACGCCCAGCAAGCTCACTCTACCGCTAAAGCCCTCACACTAAGTTATCAAGTTTATTTTAACTCCACAAAATGAGGCCAGGAACAATTCACATTAAACAGTGCTCTGTTCTTTAATAATTGGTAAAATGTCACCTATAAGTCTTTCTGGTCCTCATGTTTGTTTTTTGCAGGGTCGAGGCCCGGCAGAGTTTGAGTGTCTGGTTGTTTATTCCTGGGAGCGAGGCCAGCCTCAGGCAAGGTCTTGGCCAAGGTAGGAAGGCTCTCTGGTGACTTCTCACTTGCTTTGGCAACACCCCCTGCCCCGTCTTCATCCTGGGCTGCCCTGCAAGGCCTCGCCCTCCTCTGGCTGCCAGCCAGTCCTTGCTGTGTGGGGTCTCTGTGTTTTCCTTTCTCCTGAGTATTCTTCAAACCCACAACATGTAAAAGACTGAAACGACATGAATTCCAGTCAGAAATGTGTTGAATTGTGGACAACTGGCCCCGGGGATGATGGTTCAGGGGAGAAACCATACACATGGTCATTCTGGTCTTACAGGGCTGGGTAGGTCTGGTCCCAGGGAGGCCAGTCCTGCCTCAGCTTGGTAGGAAGATCTTTCAAAGTGTTATATGTGCAATAAAGAAAATATATATATTTGAACATCTAGGAAAAACCCCAGGTACAGCCTATCTTATTTCCTGAACAAATACACAATACTGTATAGGTGGCCTAGGCTGAGGCCAAACTGGCCATGCCCAGGGCGGGACCCTGGGCTGAGACTGATGCCCTCCACGGGCACACAGGGAGGGCAGGCCAGGCTCTCGGAGACAGGATGGCTGACACGGCTCACACCTCTCAGGTGCGAACTGGTGGCACTGCTCAGGCTGAAGTGAAACCACAGGCCCCCGAGTGGGCCCTCACATTTGGATGTGACTTCATTATCCAGTGCTGCCAAGTGCCTCATGATCTCTGCAGTCCTATCCCCACATTATCTGACTGTTGAGGGTAGAATAAGGGTGGAGCTCAGCCCTCCTGACCCCGTTCTGGGTGCTGGTTCCCGACCACCACATTCAAGGACCCTCCTCCCACCCATCCACCCACCCACCCACCTGGAGGACGACAAACACAGCCTGGGTGAGAGGGTGCAGAATCTTGATGGCCGACTGGCACTCGAAGAAACTGGAGTTGTAGCCCGTCTTGAAGACATCCATGACCAGGGTGCAGACCCCAAACAGCACCAGCCCACCTGGGAATGGGGGGAGGTGGATCAGACAGGCGGGAGAGGAGGCTTATGGGTCTGAGGAGAGATGACTAGATCAATGGCTGGATGGATGGTTGGATGGATGGATGGATGGGTGAATGGGTTCGACAGTGGCTGGCTGGAAGGCTAGGTGGATGAATGAATAGGTGTAGAGGTGAATGGATGGGCTGAAAGATGAGTGGGTCTGGAAGGATAAGTGTATGATTGAGTGGGTGGATGGAAGGATGGCCCATTGAGCTCCCATCTCTCTGGGGCTAAATAGACAGGGAGAAGGGCCCTCGATAGGCTCTTTTAGCTGCAGCTGTCAGCTGTGTTCAGCTCTCCATCAGAGGGTCTCCCAGGACCACCCTTTTTTGATCTTTGACAGAGCAAAGAGGTCCCCCTTCACCTCCCCTCCCGCACCCTCTCCCTTCCTCTTCTCCCTCACCGGCAGCCCACCCTCCCTCAGCCACATCTAGTCTTGCCAGGGGAACGTCTAACCCCTCTCCCTCCACGCACTCACTCCCCAAATCCTCGGAGAGCCCCAGCTTCCAGCTCCCTGCCTGGCCCACCCCACCTCCGCCTTCGCTGTCCCCGCACCTCGGAGCCAGATGGGGCCCGCGTGCGCGTCCCGATAGGGCACGGCGTCGGCGCAGCGCGCGGTGCGGAGCAGGTAGAAGCCGATCCAGAGCGCGGCCAGCAGCATCATGGTGGTGAGCAGCGCGAACACGTCGGTGTCGTACACGGCCACCTTGTTGAAGGCGCCGCCGCTGACGAGCGTGCAGGCGAGGAGCAGCACGTTCACGGCCAGCAGCACCGACAGCAGGCGGCCGCCCTTCTTCCACACCTCGCGGGGGCCCGTCCGCGGCGCCCGCGGGCTCTCCTGGGGCGGCGGCCAGCTCTTCCGACATGGTCGGGGCGACTGCAGGAGGTTGCGGGGCCCCCCGAGGAAGAAATGAAAAAGACCCCAAGTCAATCCCCCCAGCTCTCCCTAGATTTGGGGGCCAAGGAATTCCCTGACTCAGAGGGGGTTGCCCGCGGGGGGGGGTGGTTGTGGGGGTTGGGGGTGTGGGAGGTGGGAATAGAGGAAGCGCCGGGAACGGGGAAGAGCAAAGCGGAGACTGCGGGTCTCGAGCGGCGGCAGCCCCGTTGGACCCCGTCCCAGGTCCCCACTTCCCCAGTCCCTGCGCCCCTGGCCGGGCACCCACCTTCGCTGCGCCCGGAGCCCGCGCTGAGCTGGGGGTCAGAGGGTGGCGAGCGGCGCCTCTCTCCCACGCCGGGCTGGACGCGCGCTTTATAGCGGGGAAGGCAGCGTGATTTACAGCGGACGGAGCTCAGCTCCATAAACCTCTCAGTCCCACGCACATGATCCATCTTCCCTCCGAGCTGAATGTAGGGAAGAGCGCGGGAGCCAGATAAGGAGATTTATGTTTACCCGTTAAGAGGCGCCCCACCCCACCCCCACCCCGGCCGCCCCGTCACCTCTGCGGGCCAGGCCCGGCACGGCCCCGCACTGCGGCACCCAGAGGGCACCCCGGCCCTCCACGCCCTGGCGCCCCGGAACCCTGAGAACTTATGTTCAGTGGATGCCCCAAGGACCTGGGGGCACCGCAACGCCCTCGGTGCGCCCTGTACCTTTGTGCGCCTCTGTTGCTGCCCCAACTCTGGCCCCTCGTGCCCCTTTGCCCGGCTTCCTCTCAGCGATCCAAGTCCCCTCTCCCTCCTGCCCCTGCCCCCCGGCCCCTGCCCGCCTGCCCCTGCTCCGCTGGCTGCGCCCAAGTCGAGCTTGGATACAAGTCCTCCCGCGGCGCGCGGAGTCCGCGCGGGTCTCCAGCGCCCCCTGCTGGAGAGTCTGCTGACCCCGCGGGAGCGGACGGCGGACGGGACCGCCGGGTTCTACCCGCTGCCGGTCCCGCGGTTGGTACTAACAACCCCCTCCCGCCCGCTGCCCCAGGGGTCGGGACTGCCGCGGACACCCCTGCCCGGCCCTCGGCCCGTTCCTTGGATGCGTGGAGACACCGGGAGCCGCGCACCCGGGCTCTAGTGAGGACAGACCTGGGACTGTCTCTAGACAGGTCCTCACTGCGCAGGGAGCTGGGGTGGACATTTTTGGGGAGAGGGCAGGGCCTCGCCCGGTCACCCCAGGGCTCTCGGGCCCAGGGTGTTTAGGACCCAGGGGCAGCCCGGGGCGGCTCCCTGGGCCGCGGGAGATCCTCCCCCTCCGGCCGGTGCGCGGCTCAGATGTCGGAGTAGCGGCGGCTCTGCGCTCCGCACCCACCGTCTGCGGCAGCGGCGCTGGCGGCCCCGGCCCCCGCCGCCCCCTCCCCCCACCCCATGCCTCGGTCCTAACCCCGAAAACCTGCCCCGCGGGGGGCCTTTCCCCGAGCCGCTGGCCCGCCCCGTCCCAAGTCGGGAGCCATGAACGACCAGTACCACCGGGCGGCCCGGGACGGCTACCTGGAGCTCCTCAAGGAGGCCACCCGGAAGGAGCTGAACGCCCCCGACGAGGATGGCATGACCCCCACTCTCTGGGCTGCTTACCACGGCAACCTGGAGTCGCTGCGCCTCATCGTGAGCCGGGGGTGAGTGCCCAGCCCGGCCCCGCAGGGGAGAGGGCAGAGCGTCCGCGCTCTCAGCCCCCAGCCCCTCCCGGTCCCAGGCCCCTCTCCGCTGAGCCACCCCCTTCCCTAGGGACGGACCCTGGGGTGGGACCTTGGGGCCTGGCAGTCTGGGAGGGAGGGGGACACCGGCTGAGGCCTGTGACACTTGTGACCTGGATATGGGGCTAGGAGAGGAGGGCTAGGATTTGGGGGTTCATGCTTGTGGG